TCCTTCCCACCATCACCACTTCAGTTCTTAGAAAGCCTGATGCTCCCTCCCTCCCTAGGACCCCAATAGGGTCCTGGCACAAGGTAGTCTCTCTGTTGAGAGCTTTCTTTCCCTGCTCCCCACCCTTTCCCCCCATCTTGGCCTAGTTAGTTCTTCCTCATCTTCAGATTCCAACAGGAGCATTCCTTCCTCTGAAAAGCTTCCTTAAGAGTAAAGTCAAATAACTTGCTTTCTGGAAATCTTTCCAATAGAGTGCTTGGATCCGTTCAAAATCATCTAAGCACTTATCTGGCAACTCGGTTAATGTCTGTCTCCTACAATGGGTGGTAGAGCCTTGGGAGCATCAACCGTGTGTTGATGTAATTCAGTGTCAAGCTCAGTGGCTGTTTACCAAGAACCTTGGGCAAATATTGAAAGGATGGATAGATGGATAAAGGGATGGACAGATGAACATACTGAAAATAAATGACCTTTTCCCATGCTAAATTTAGGAATATCTACCACCCTTCTACTAAGTTCTTGCTGTTCACTAAAATGATCTGGCAAGCTATAAACGTACATGCTGCAGGATTCCAACCCTAACTTTCTGCAAATGGCAAATCCATGTTGACAGACCAGTGGCTGCTGGGGATGAGAGGGGATGGATAAACAAGAAGACTGCAGAGATTTTTCTGGTAGTGAAACCATTCTACATGGTATTATTATGATGACTATATGTCCTCATACATTTCTCAGAACCCACACAATATAAATATAAAGAATAAACTCTAAGACTCATGATGTAAGCTGTGAAGGTAGATCAGCTAATGGATGAATGGAGGTTTTGACAAACTGGTCCCAGTCTTGTGGAAGATGGGTCAGGTACCAATCTACATGCTAAGAATGCCTCTGGGGTTATACATCCAGGAAGACTTCCTGGAGGATGTGGTTAGGAAATGGTGAGGGCAGGAAGACTGACTACCAAAGCCAGGATAGACTGATAAGTTGGTCAGAACAACCAGTATATGGATATATTGCTGCCTGGATAATGCCTGGGGGGGGGTGATGGTTTGTCCTCTGGCCATCCCAGCTGGAAAATACGGATGTGTCTAAGCCTCAGAAGAAAAGGTTGAGTGCAGGCATGTATTGGGGAGGAGGGGTTGTAATTAGGAAGAAGATGGCCATTTAAGCTTGGAACATAGTATATTTTCAAGGCCCTAGTCCAGCTGAAGTGTTATAGGGAGTCCCTATAGGCCAGGGCACGGTTCCACAATGAGGTAAAGGACAGGCCCCTCTCTAGTCTCCCATCCCCCATTTTCCTCGGGTTTCAGAGCTAGCACCACCCCCTGCATTGCTCCCTAGAGGGACTGCCCAGGGAATAATCTACTTGTCTGCCTAAGCAAGGTGGGGGTGACCCCATAACTTGAAGTTTTTTGTTGTTGTTGTTTGTTTTTGGCTAGTCCTAGGACTTGAACTCTAGGCCTGGGCACTGTCCCTGAGAGCTTCCTTTGCTCAAAGCTAGAACTCTACCACTTGAACCACAGCACCACTTCCAGCTTTTTCTGTGTTTGTGGTACTGAGAAATTGAACCCAGGGCTTCATGCATGCTAGGCAAGCACTCTACCACTAAGCCACATTCCCTGTGTCTTCCTGGAACAGCTGGAACTCTCAGTGGCTCTGATCACCCTTCCCTCCACTTCTGCACACACTGAGATGTGCTGGAAGAGCAGAGGTCAGGCAAAGGGCCTATGGCATCCAGAATGCCCCTGAGAAGCACTGGGGCCTCCCCAGAATGCCTCCCAAGCTTTTACCTGAACCCCACTGCCACCAGGCTCAGCTCCCCTGAGGGGTAAGGTCTAGAGAGCATGCTTCTTTGACGTGTGTGTGTGTGTGTGTGTGTGTGTGCCAATACTGGGACTTGAACTCAGGACCTGGCCACTATTCCTGAGCTTTTTCACTCAAAGCTAGTGCACTACCATTTGAGCCACAACTCCACTTTCAACTTTTTGCTGGCTATTTGGAGATAAGAGTCTTGCAAGCTTTCCTGTCCAGGCTGGCTTTGAACAATCCTCAGATCTCAGCCTCCTGAGTATTTAGCATTATGGTGCCTGGCTTCCTGATCCGGTTTCCTACCAATGTACTCACTAGAGGGTTCGTCCTCAAGGGCAGTCCTTTTCAAAACAGGACTTGAGGGTCTGATGTTGACAGGCAGTGGTAGACACTGAGGAAAGGCAGGGCCCTGGGGGATGGTAGCCTGAAGAGCGGTGAGCAGGGAAACTAGCAGTGGGGGATGTATGGCTCCTGACTCAGCCAAACATCCAGAGGCCAGCATGAGGCCTCCGCATGCTAGGCTGAAAGGCTGAGACAGATGGACCTGGCCAGATGGGTACTCACAACCTCTCTGATGAAGGCAGGGATTATGGTGATGACCAAGAAAGCAAGGAGATAAGAAATGGAGGAGGCTGACATTGTGGGACTGTGGATGTGGAAAGGAAAAAAGAAAAAGACTCATTTAGTTTGGGAATTTTTGTCTGGCTGCCAGCACCCTTCTGGGAGGGTTGAGTAAGCCCCTCCCAGGAGCCTGGCAGGATGACCGGGAAGCAGGCAGGAGCATGGTGTTCTCCATTCCTCATGTAGAAAAACTGGCCACCACAGTCAGTGGGCCACTCTAGCTTGGTCTCCCTCCTGGATTTCAGTGCCATGCCCGCTGGTCGACCTCAGCTGGAAACTCACAGCTAAGCAATCACTTATCATGCAAGATATGCTGGCCCCCGCTCCCCATGTCTCCCTCACAAGGATCCCATTTGCTGAATGCTTACTATGTACTTCCAGAACACAAGACTTCATTTAGCATCACAAGATTCGCACAAAGGAGATGCTGGTATCATACATATTAAACCAGAAGGAAATCAATGCTCCAATGACTTGCCAAGGGTGATACAATTAAGGAACAAAGCTTAAGTTCAAACTCAAGGCTGTCATTGCTCTGAAGTGCCCTAATAAGGGCAGGGATCAGGGCCCAGGGCTAGGGAGCATTAGGAAGGATAAGAGGTCTACAGCATGGGGACTCCAGTGACACTGCTCAGGGACTCCTGCCCCTTGATGTATATCTGCCTGGACCAGATATCTACCTTCCTGTGCCAGGAAACAGACAGGTTACCCTATGAACAGCCTACTAGCTCTTCAAAAAGATCCCATGAGACCTTTCAAGGAACCTGAGGTGCACACAGGATGGCAAGCTCTCTCCTTCCCTCCCTCCCTCTCTCCCAGAACCCTTCACACTACTGTGACGGAATGCCCAGCACCAGTGGCTCACACCTGTAATCCTAGCTACTCAGGAGGCGGAGATCTGAGGATTCTGGTTTGAAGCTGGCCAGGGCAGCAAAGTCTCTGACACTCTTATCTACAATGAAGCACCATAAAGCCAGAAGTTGCACTGTGGTTCAAAGTGGTAGAGTGCTAGCCTTGAGCAAAAAAAGCTCAGGAACCTAGGCCCTAAGTTCAAGCCCCACAGCTGACAACAATAGCAAAAACCTCCCAGAAAAGTGAGCACTGTCAGCTGAGCCAGCCCAGGAGAAGAGCACATATACTGAAGCAGAATGTGTATACACAATGCCCCCTACTTTTTTCTTTAACTCAAAAAGGCTTTTATTGTTTTTAACTCACTTCCTGGGAAGTTGATTTTTAAAACACTCTTATAGAGTTTGTTCAGTTGTGCTACATTCAGAAACAATGATGCCAATTCAAACCCTCAGCAATGGGTGAGAACCCCCACCACATCCTGGCTCTGCCAGGCTCATTGATACCAGCCACCCTCCTCCATGCTTTTTTCATGAAGATGTCCAATCCTTGAAGCTTCCTGAAACCCTGGATCCTCTGACTATCAGCAGAGATGCTCAAGAAAACTTTGTTGTCAGTAATTGGCTTTGAACTTGTCTCCCATTAACTCTATAGAAGTGTTTTTAAAGATAGTATTATATTATTATTTTGTATTAAGCCCTGGGTCACACTGGCTGTCTTAGTGCAGAGGAGTTGGAGAGAAATGGGAGCCCATTAATAATGGGCCATCTTCTGCTCCCAGCCTTAAATAGACATAGACATTATGTTACAGATGCAGGTACCGGTGTGAAACATGCGAGTGTGCTGTGTGCAGCAGATGGCACGTACGCGCATGTGGGCATGGAGGTGTGACATATTCCCACAGGGGCAGAGATGTGGCAAGACATGATTCAACCGCCCCTTTCACACCTTCTCAGCCTCCCTCTCTTACAAACAAGTCCTCCCATTATATGAAACCCACACAGGCAGTGGAAATCCCTTTTGTGGCCCACATTTTCAGGGGTGGAACCTGAGTCTTGTGGGTTTTTTCCCTTTAGAGATCAATCTCTGTAAGTGTTTAGTCAGTAAACATCATGCAGGCCAAGCAATCACAATCTCAGTGAGAAGACAAAACCTGCTAAGAAGGACATGTCCATATGGGTGCCCCCATCTCCCACCCCAGGCAGGGGTGTCTGATGTCCTAGGGAGGAGGTGGTTGATGGAGTGCTTGGCCCACCTGCCAGGGTACACATTGTGCTGGAGCCCTTGTTTGGCAAGGCCTCCCATCCAAACAGTTTATCCTTCATCCAAGGAAGGTGACGGGCAGGCTAGTGAAACATCAGATCCCAGTTAATCCCACATTTGCAAGGTCACAGCTCTGTGAGCCCTCCGCCGATGTCACCCCAATGCTACTTCTGCAGCCTTCGCTCTGGGAAGCCTTGGGAGCGAGTGTGGTGGGTGGAAAGGGGTGCTGCTCCTGGTTCAGGCGTGGATTCCATTCTTGATTCAGTCCAGGCTATTTTCTAAATGGTGCTGGATACAAAACATGATCCAGGAAGGGCAAGCCAGTCCACCTGACTACCAAATCATGAGTATGCTTCCCAGCTGCGGGAAGGGCCACAGAGGATTCCCCAGTAGCCTCCTCCCTCCAAGCCCCATGGTCAAAACAAAAATAAAAGACAACAGAAAAAAAAAAGGGAATCTGAATTTCATATCCAGTTTTGGCCTTCTCCCTGCTGAGGTCCAGGCATACATTATAGAGGTCAGAGCCTTCATAACCGCATTTGTGGGGAAGGGAGCTTGTGTACCTCCATGCCCAGAACAGAGCAAAATCCTCCATGCAGTATGGAAGCTGAGCCAGACCCACCCAGCCGTGGAGGTCTCAGAGTGTAGTTAAGCCAGGGTTCCACCTGTCATCTTGGTCTCCTACCTTCTGTTCTGAGCCTGGGTTCCCCACAGGATAGGTTAGGCCAAGAAGAGCTGGAACCAGAAGGAAGGCCCCTTGGGGGCCCTGTTCCCCATGCCATGGATGACACATATTCCAATCCTGTCCCTGAACATGCCTGTGCACAGGTCATGCAGCACAACAGGGGAGGGGGCCAGGGAGGGGACTGCAGTCCCTAGCCCCCTGCCTGCAGAGGCAGCTGTTGCATGAGGGCGGTGGGCCTCTGGAGGTGTGGGATGAACATGCTACCGGCGGCCCTGGGCACATGCAAGGGCTCAGGATGCAGCCTCATCTTCCTGGACGCCAGGGAGTTCCGGGCTTTTGCCTCCTTCACCATACCCTTCTTTCCTATTGGGAGAGACCAGGGCAGGGGGATCGATGATCACTCTCACACATTCATGAATGCAGCTTACAATCCTTCTGTGGCTTCTTGGTTTCCTGAGATAAACTTCTCAGGAACCTCTGATGATCCAACCCAGATGACTTCCTTGGAGAATCAGCCAGGTCGTTGATCTTAATCAGCCCTCAGCAGGTGTGGGTTGAGGGTCTTTCACTAGCACTTTTTTCCCCCTTGCTCAAAGGGCAGAGTAATCTGTCTTAAAATTTGGTCACATATCTACTGGATTCCTATAGTTGACCCTTCTGCCCCAAGGCCTCTCTTTACAGGCTCACACCTGTCATTCTAGCTATTCAGGAAGCGGATACCTGAGGATCATAGTTCAAAGTCAGCCAGAGTGGAAAAGTCTGTGAAACTCGCATCTCCAATTAACCACCAAAAAGCCAGAAGTGGGCTGTGACTCAAGTAGTAGAGTGCTAGCCTTGAGCAAAAGAGCTCAGGAATAGCACTCAGGCCTTGAGTTCATACCTCAGGACCAACAGAACAATAACAACAAAATTCAATGAATTAGGAACAGATGCTGGAACTCTGCAATGAAATAAAAGTCTTTTTTGAAAATTATACTTGGTAAATGAACACATGAGAATTAGGAAAGAATCAAACATGTAAACTCAGCAAATCAATAAAATCCTAAAATCAACAGGGCAAAGAAAAAAAGAAAACCCAGTACTCAATCTGGAGGGAAAAAAGCCCCACAAGAGTCAACAAATGCTTTTCAATAATAAGCCTAAGCTGGGTGCTGGTGGCTCACACCTGTAATCCTGATACTCAGGAGGCTGAGATCTGAGGATCATGGTTCAAAGCCAGCCTGGGAAGGGAAGTCCACAAGACTCTTATCTCCAATAAACTACCAGGAAAAAAAATCCAGAAGTGTAGCTGTGGCTCAAAGAGTAGCCTTGAGTAAAAAGAAGCTCAGAGGCAGCTCCTAGACCCTGAGTTCAAGCCCCAGGAAAGGCATACATACAAATTAGTAATGAGAAGCCTAATGTAAATGGTCTTAACTCCCCAATAAAAAAACAGACTAGATGACTAATAAAAAACATGACCCATTTTTTTTTCAAAAAAAAAAAACACCTTACAAAGCTGGGTGCCAGTGGCTCACACCTGTAATCCTAGCTACTCAGGAGGCTGAGATCTGAGGATGACTATTCAAAGCCAGCCCAGGCAGGAAAGTCTGTGAGACTCTTATCTCCAATTAACCACCAGAAAACCAGAGGTGACGCTGTAGCTCAAGTGGTAGAACGCTAGCCTTGTGCTGAAGAGCTGAGGGACAGCAGAACCCACGCCCAAAGTTCAAGCCCCGAGACTGACAAAAAAAAAAGTAGCTATACTCACATCTGACAAAGTAGACATCAAGTTGAAATAGGAGGGATTAAAATAATTAGATATTTATGAAGAAGATACAAAATATTTATTTTTTTTGGCCCATCCTGGGGCTTGAACTCAGGGCCTAGACACTGTGCCTGAGCTTCTTTTGCTAAAGGCTAGCACTCTACCACTTGAGCCACAGCGCCAATTCTGGCTTTTTTGTTTATGTGGTACTAAGGAATGGAACCCAGGGTTTTGTGCATGCTAGTCAAGTACTCTATTACTAAGTCACATTCCCAGCCTGGTACACCCAATTTTATGAAGCAATCACTACTAGACACAAAGAGACAGAGATCCAGATGCAAAAACATTAGATGCCTTCTAGACTCCATTCTCACCAACAGATCATCTTGACCAAAAAAAATTATATATATGTATATATACATACACACACACACACACACACATACACACACACACAAATCTTAGCATTAAAGGACATTGGACTTAGCAGTAATCTACAGCGTATTCAATTCAATGACTGCAGAATATGCAGTCTTTGCAGTAGCCCATACAATTTTCTCCAAAACAGACATCTTAGGCCATAAAAAGTTTTGACAGCAAGCACCAGTGCGAGCACCGATGGCTCACGCCTGTAATCGTAGCTACTTAGGAGGTTTAGATCTGAGGATCACAGTTCAAAGCCAACTCTGGCAGGAAAGCCTGGTGGTTTATCTCCAATGTGGCTCAAGTGGTAGAGCACTAGCCTTGAGCTGGAGAGCTGAGGGACAGCACCCCTTGACTGACCAAAAAAAAAAAAGGTTTGACAGCAAGTGCTAGTGGCTCACATCTGTAATCCTAGTTACTCAGGAGGTTGAGATTTGATATCTGAGGATCCTGGTTCAAAACCAGCCTAGGCAGGAAAGCCAATGAGACTTATTTTTTGTGGGTTATGAGGCTTGAACTCAGGGGTTGGGTGTTGTCTTTGAGCCTCTTTGTGCTCAAGGTTAGTGTTCTACCACATTAGCCACAGCACCAGTTTTTTGTTTGTTTCTTTTTTTGAGTGGTTAATTGGAAATAAGAGTCTCACAGGGATTTTTCTGCTTGGGCTGGCTTCAAACTGTGATCCTCAGATCTCAGCCACCTGAGTAGCTAGGATTACAGGCATGAGCCACCAGTGCCTGGCTAGTAATTTCTTTTATCTTAACTCATCATAACAGAATAAAATTAGAAATTACAAACAAGAGAAACTATATAGACTACACAAACACATGAAGATAGAACAATAGTGGGTCGATGGAGAAGTCAGTGCGACCTGAATAATTGTGGCTCACACCTAGAATCTTGGGTTCTTGGGAGGCTGAGATCTTAGAATCTTGGCTTAGAGCCAGATGGGCAGATGAATTAAAAAAAAAAACCTGGGCTGGGAAGGTGGCTCAGTGGTAGAGCACTTGCCTTGCATGCCTGAGGCCCTGGGTTCAATTCCTCAGCACCACATAAGCAAAAAGAAAAAAGCCGGAAGTGGCACTGTGGCTCAAGTGGTAGAGCACTAGCCTTGACTGAAGAGCTGAGGGACAGTGCCCAGCCCCAGAGTTCAGGCCCCACGACCGGACCCCCCAAAAAAACAAAAAACAACAAAAAAACCCTAACTCCAATTAGTCAGCAAAAAGCTTGAAGCAGAAATGTAGTTCATGTGGCAGAGTGTCGACTACAGGCAAAAGAATCAAACAGGAAGAGGCCAGAGGCTCTGAGTTCAAGCCCTAGAACAGGCACAAAAAATCAGTGAGGAAGTTAAGTAAACTGTAATCAAATGAAAACAAAAACAACTTGTCAGAACATTTGGGACATAACAATGTGAAGATAAAAGTTTATAGCTATGAGTACCAATATTAAAAAAAATTAAAGCGATCTCGAGGAGCATGGTGGCTCACATCTGAAATTCCAGCTTACTCAGAAAGCAGAGATCTTGGCTTGAGGCCAGCCTAAGCAAGAAGATCTTGGCTAGAGGCCAGCCCAGACAAAAAGTTAAGGAGATCCTATCTCACTCATCAAGCCAGATATGGTGGTACTTGCCTGTGATCTTGACTACTGTGAAGATTGCAGTACAAGGTTAGCTTGGACAAAAACTTGAGACCCTCACTGAAAAAAATAACTAAAAATAAAAAGGGCTGGAGGCAGGGCTCAAGTAAAATATTTGACTAGCAAGCATGAGCAGCTGAGTTCAATAACCTTGGTACTAAAAAAGAAGGACCTTAAAAAAAAAAAAAAAACAAGAACAGCTGGGCACCAGTTGCTCACACCTGTAATCCTAGCTACTCAGGAGGCTGAGATCTGAGGATCACGGCTCAAAGTCAACCTGAGCTTGAAAAGTCTCTGAGACTCTGATCTCCAATTAACCACCAGAAAATCGGAAGTGGAGCTGTGGCTCAAGTGGTAGAGCACTTGCCTTGAGCTGAAGAGCTCAGGGATGGAGCCCAGGCCCAGAGTTCAAGCCCCAAGACCAAAAAAAAAAAAGCCCAAGAAACCCATAAGAACAAGACAACTCAAAATTAATAGAATAAAGATCAGAGCATAGAGTAATAAAATGGAGACTAAAGGAACAATATAAAAGATCAATGAAATAAAGAATTGATTCTTTGAGCAGATGAAAGAAGATTGACAAACAAGAGAGCCAAAAGAAAGACAGATTCAAATGAATAAAATTAGAGATGAAATGGGGATATTACAATAAATTCAGAGAATAATTAGGGAATATTATAAAAACATATTCCAATAAGCTGGAAAATCCAGAACAAATGGATAAATTTTTACTAATATGACCTACCAAAATGGGATATAAAGAGAATACAAACAACTTTAATTCATTTATAATGAATAATGAGCTTGAAGCAGTATAATCTCCCAGCAAAGAAAAACCCAGATGGTTTCACTGTTGAATTCAATCAAACCATTAAAGAACTAATACTAATGCTCCTCAAGATACTCTATAAAAGAGAAAGGGAAGGAATGTTACCAAACTAGTATTATACTCTGATGCTAAACTGGATAAGGACAGTAAAAGAAAAGAAAAAAAATATATATATATATACATACAGACACACACATGTGTATGTAGGTAGAGAAAGAGAGAAAAGGGAAAGAGACTTGTCTTTAATGAACATAAGTGCAAAAAATTCTCAATAAAATACTTGAAAACAAAATTCAATAGGGCCAGGTATTAATAGCTCATGCCTATAATCCTATCTACTCAAGAGGCTGAGATCCAAGAATTGCAGTTCAAAACCAGCCCAGGCATGGTCATGGGCCTGGGTGCTGTCCCTGAGCTCTTTTTTCTCAAGGCTCTACCATCGTGAGCCACAGAGCCACTTCTGGTTTTCTGGTGGCTAACTGGAGTTAAGAATCTTACAGACTTTCTTGCCTGGGCTGGCTCTGAAACACAATCCTCAGATTTCAGTTTCCTGGCGTGAGCTACCAGTGCATGGCCATGAGACTTCTATCTCCAATTAACCAGCAAAAAGCTAGAAGTAGAGGAGTGGCTCAAGTGATAGAGCCAATCTTGAGCAAAAAAAGCTAAACAAAAGCCCTGAGTTCAAGCTCCAGTACTGTCACAAAACAAAAATAAAAACCACACAGACACATAAACATGCACAAATACATACACATGCACACACACATACACACATACTACAGGTACATATGCATCATAAGCTGGTTTCATTCTAAGGATGCAAGAATGTTTCAACATATATAACTCAACAAACATCATATGACACATACATAAAATTAAGGAAAAGGGGCTGGGAAGGTGGCTCAGTGGTAGAGTGCTTGCCTTGCATGCATGGGGCCCTGGGTTCGATTCCTCAGCACCACATAAGCAGAAAAAGCTGGAAGTGGGGCTGAGGCTCAAATGGTAGAGCATTAGTCTACAGCTGAAGAGGTGAGGGACAGCGCCCAGGCCGAGTTCAGGCCCAACGACTGACCAAAAAAAAGAAAAAGAAAAATTAAGGAAAAAAATCATGATTATTAAGAAATGAAGAAAAAGCCTTGACAAACATGGCCATGTCTTCATACTAAAACCTTTGAAGAAACAGAAGTAACATATTTCAACATAATAAAGGCTATATAAGATAAACCTATAGCCAATATTGCACTAAAATGGGAAAAACTGAAAGCATTTTCTCTAAGATCAGGAACAAGACATCAACTCCCTCAGCACCACATAAGCAGAAAAAGCTGGAAGTGGCACTGTGGCTCAACTAGTAGAGTGCTAGCCTTGAGCTGAAGAGCTGAGGGACAGTACCCAGGCCCAGAGTTCAAGCCCCATGACTGAAAAAAAAAAAAAAAAGCAAACACTTAGGAAAAACCAAAGGTGGTAAAAGATCTCTTCAATAAAAACCATGAAATACTGAGGAAACCCTATCCAAAGGAATGCAAGTCAGCATACAACAGATCTACCCAAATACACACATCTATTCATAACAGTCAAGCTATGGACTCATCTTAGGTGTCCAACAACCAATGAATGGTCAAAGAAAATGTGGTATGTATACACAATGGAGGATCATTATTTATATGAAATTATAAATTTATGGAGGATTATTATTTATATGAAATTATAAATTTATGACACTTGTAGGAAAATGGATAGAACTAAAAATCATGATGTTAAATAGAAAAAAAATCCAGATTTAGAGAGCTGAGTGTTATATGTTTTCTCACATATGAGGAATCTAGGCTTAATATAGACAAACAAATGTAAAAGGTAGACTAACTGGTATGGACTCAGAATGGAGGAGGAGAAAGGACAGGGTGATGGGGGGAATAATATGCTTAACTACATTGCATATATATGTGAAAACAGCACAGTGCAACTCACTGAAGTTGCAAAAACTGGCAGGGAGGTGGAAAGGGATTTGTGGGAGTAACAGTGATCATTTTCAAGGTGTATTGTATACACTTATGGAACTGTCACAACAAAACCCTTTTTTACAACTAATATAGGGTATTAAAATAACAATAGTTAAAAATTCAATTATAGACTTTTATGGCTGCAAGGGACTTAGCCAATCTCTCTTTTTTTTTTTTTGTCAGTCATGGGGCTTGAACTCTGGGCCTGGGTGCTGTCCTTCAGCTATTCAGCTCAAGGCTAGCACTCTACCACTTGAGCCACAGTGCCACTTTCTGTTTTCTGGTGGTTAATTGGAGATAAGAGTCTCACAGACCTTCCTTCCTGGGCTGGCTTTGAACCTCAATCCTCAGATCTTAGCCTCCTGAGCAGCTAGGATTACAGGAATGAGCCACGGGCCCCTGGGCTGACTTAGTCAATCTTGAATGATCAATTGTCAGGATACAAATTAGGTGCAAGTGTTCTTAACCTGTGGCTGGATTGTCTTGCCATTAGGGGGCGCCAGGCCAAAGGCATCCCTGGATTGACCAGATGGCCCTGAACTGCTTGTTGTCCTGTTGTGATTATTGCTCTCAGAACTGGCCCCTTTGTCAAGTTCTGTAGGATTCTCCTATGCCATGTGCAATTGTAGCATCAAAGCCCTGAGACCTAATGAGCTCAAGAGACAATGTGCCTGATTCTTGACCACCTTTCTGAAGAAATGGAAAACTACAACTCCCTGTCAGGCCTTTCCTAGGTTCTACCCCTTGCTATTATGAGGACATTCCTTGGAAGGACACAAAGGAAAGAACTGTTTTCTGAGAGGCTGGGCTGATAGCTACAGACAGCTTTCTGTGGAACACGCTCATCATAAAGCAAGCTTAGACTCAGCTTCCGCTAACCTTCGCTTGCCAGTACCCTTCACAGTTCAGACAAAGGAAGTGAGCACCACCTGAGACCACACTGTGGCTCAGGACCACATGGATCTCTCTGCAGATCCGTGCACAACTCCAACAGCCTTGTTAGAATCCTAAGCTGACTTTTATTATAGTGGAAAATCTGAGAATGAGAATGAGGCCTCAGTGTTTGTGGACTGCTTTTCTGGGCTCTCCTAGGAAGTGATGAACTCAGATATGTGGCTCACAGAAAAGCCCTCAGGGAACAGTGGGTCCTCTTCTATAGGCTCAGCCTATCCATGTGGCCTTGCAAAGAACAGCATTCGCAAAGTGCCAGCCAAAGGTGACACAGGCTGTTTTTTTTTTGTTTTTGTTTTGTTTTGTTTTTTTTTTGTCGGTCATGAGGCCTGAACTCTGAGCCTGGACCTGGGCACTGTCCCTCAGCCCTTCAGCTTAAGGCTAGCGCTCTACCACTTAAGCCACATCGCCACTTCCGGCTATTTCTGCTTACGTGGTGCTGAGGAATCGAATCCAGGGCCTCATGCATTCAAGGCAAGCGCTCTACCACTGAGCCACCTTCCCAGCCCCACACAGGCTATTCTTAATGTAGCCAACACCCATTCCAGGGCCCACTTTCCATGAATGAGCCAACCTCTACAAGGCATGGACACTGCAAACCTCTGTCAGGCTGCCAGGGACTGAGGGAGTCACAGATAGGGAGCCAGATGGCTAAATAGGATCCCATGGTAGAATGTGACAGCATCAAGCATCCATGAGAAGGAAGATCCTTCTTCTTGTGCCATGGAAGGCAGGGTGTACATCAGGGACACTAGGCCCAGCTTGGGGCAGAGGTGGCCTAGGAAGGTCCCTTCTAGCTCCAATTCATCTTGAGGGCAGAGGTGCAATTGGGGCCCTATTCTGAGACTCAGCTTCATCTCCAGGCTCTGGGGACAGCCCCATAAGAGTGGCCCAACCCATCCCAGGAAGCAGCCCACAGACCAGGCCCGCAGTACATACGTCACTAAGTTCCCTGGAGCAGACATGGAACGCTCTTCCCTGCGTGCCTGGGGTTCAAATGGATTCCCAAAGGAACGTTTTCTCAGCATAGACTTGACCAGGATCTGGGGAGCACATGACAGCATGAGGAACTAAGGCCTGGGACACTGGGACACACTCGGCAGCTCTGGCTCCTGAGAGGGTGGTTGTGGTGTCTGGAGCTGCTTCTAGAAGGCCTCAGAACATTTCACTGTCACAGCCTGGATATCCATGCAGTGCCCAGGGAAAAGCAATTCAGCCTCTGCAAGCTTTCTGGCCTCAGCAAGGCTTGTAAGTTCTAAGTCATCCACTCTCCTCACCAAGCCTTCCATATGCAGGCCACAAGGCTCAGACTCCATAACACACCCTCACTCTACAGGCCTTCAGCAAGCAGGGGTCACCAAGGCTTCAAGCCAGGTGCCCTCCATGCCCCCAATAGGTCCAAGCACAGAACAAGTTCAAGCGGTACACAGGCCCACTTCAGACTCTCCCAGAAGGATCTTACCACTGTGGTCCAGCTAGGAATGAGCTTGACTGAGTTCTTTACTTCCTCCTCAGTCACCTCTACCACACTGCAGTGCTCTTCCTCTGAGGGCAGGGGCTCCTCCCCATGTTTGGTCACCCAGGGGTGCAACTGTGGAGGCCAGAAGAAAAGAGAGGCTAGAGCTGTAAGTGGTAAGATACCCAATCAGCAAGGATCAAAGACATCCTACTGGCAACAACATTGAGATAGTCCAAAGCCCACAAACCCAAGACCCCAAACCTAAAACCCAAGGCACTTCATGTCCCAGGGCAGTATCTCAGGAAGGGGAGACAAGCCTGTTTTGTGTGTCCCAGCCCAGCTCAAGGCCTCCTGTCCCCCGACCTTGATATCAGGCACCCCAATTCTCGTTTCAGGATTCTTGTCCAGCATCTTCAGGATCAAGTCCTTGAGCTCCTCGCTGACCTCAGGCCTAGACAGGGGAAGAATAGACACAGGTACACTAATGAGAACCCCCTCCCTTCTTGCCCTGGGTTCTGACACTCAGCCCGCACTCCTCCTCACATGGACGAGAAGACAGTGGAGGCCTTCACTCTCACTCTTCCCTCCACCTGTATATGGTCAGGAAAGTTCCTCTCTCTAACTGAGGGGCACTTAGGCTCAAGGATAGTAGGTTGCTATATTGCCACTCAAGCGAGTGTGGGCAGGGAGAAGAAACTCAGAAGAGGGGAACAGCACTGCCAGTCTAATGGCAGCCAGTATATCTCCTTGCCTAAACACAGCTTCTTTGCTGCCATTCCTGGAGCACCCATCTGTCCAAAACTGGAGAGGAGTATGAATTTTGGGGGCTTCTCTCTGCTATCTTAAATGCTAAGTCTTTGAAAACTCCTGGTCCCTAAAAATTCCTTGTCTCTAAAACCTCCTAGGTCCCAGGAGGGATTCTCAAACAGGAGGCACAGTAGGAAGAAATACTAGGAGCCAGGAAACTAAAGGATAGTAGGAACTGGACTGAATCCAGTTGGGTAGTGTCAGAGTCACAAAATCCAAATGTTCTTGAATGCTGTGGCCTTGGACCATGTTAAGCATAAGCTAGTCAGACGCACTGTGCTTAAGCAAAACTCGCCAGGCCTGTATTGGATGGAGAGGTGAGGGCCATAGAAGCAATGGTTTGAAGTGTGGGGAGAGAGGCTGAGGCCTGAACTAGGCAGGGGCACAAGGAACTGGGGCTTGAAGACAAGTAAGAGATGGGCTTGACAGGACTTGGGGACCGGACAGGCAGTGGGTGCAAAAGGGCAAGAATCAGAGGACAACTCCCATTTCAGTTGCTATCCCACCCTGGTCACTCCCACTGATGGTAGAAGGTTCTAAAAATAAGAAGTCAGGGAGCTAGGCTGAAGCCACAACAGCCAAAACCATCTGAAGAAGCATGGATGATCAAGGAGCCCCCAGACCAGCCCCTGGGCTCAGGGAAGGGAGCAGATAGGAGGGGCCTTCAAATCCAATCCCAGCTCTCAAATTCAGTTCTCCTCCAGGGCCTCTGCTTGTCTACCTGCAAAATGGACAACACTCTGGTATGTTGAAGACCCTCATCCTATGTGAGGAAAGTGGAAGTTCCTCTTGGGGTCACAAGCTGTGTGGAGTTAGTACTGCTGACCCAGGCTGGCCTTCAATGAAGCTGTGGTATGAATGCCTGACCTGGGGCCAATAGCAATGAACTCTAGGCTTAGCGGTCCCATCTATCCAATGAGATATAACTCCTATATCTTGGAAACCCTCCACTCAAGAGTTCTGCTTTTGTGGAAGTGGTGCTATGACACAAGGGGTAGAGCGCTTGCCTTGAGCTAAAGAGCTCAGGGACTGTGCCCAGGCCCAGAGTTCAAGTCCTACAACCGACCAAAAAGAAAAAAAAAAGTTCTTCTTTTTCCAGGTGCCAGTGGCTTATGCCTATAATCCTAGCTACTGGGGAGGCTGAGATCTGAGGATCACAGCTCAAAGCCAGCCCAAGCAGTAAAGTCTGTGAAACTCTTATATCCAATTAATCACCAGAAAACCAGAAGTGGTGCTGTGGCTCAAGTGGTAGTGCATTAGCCTTGAGCTAAAGAGCTCAGGGACAGTGCCCAGGCCCAGAGTTCAAGACCCACACACAAAAAAAGAGTTCTACTCTCCACCTGCCCAGATGCCCTCCCAGGGATCAGCATCCCCACCTGCAACTCTGCAGGCTGGGGTGTGGTCCTCAAAGGGCAAAAGCTCTGCTAAAAGTCAGATACTCCTCCCCAGGAGTGGGCAGAGCCCTCTGGTTCCCTGGGTGCACAACTCACTCCTCCGGGAAAACCACAGGTTCGTTCTTGATCTTCTTATGCAGGGCAAGGATGTACTCATCAATGAAGGGGCACTGTAGAATGGAAAGGCAGAGAGGAGTTGTAGTTGCAAGGCCACAAACTGCTGGGAGGAAGTGGGGTGCTGGGGATAGCAGGGAGCTGTCAGGGTCCCTAGCTACTCTTGCATCTACTTGGAGGGACTTCATCTAAATTTGTTCAAGGCATTGCGTGAAGCAGGGCTCAACAAATAAAACCCAACACGTAATTTGCTGAGGGAACTCTGAGGCTCCCTACACTTGCTGGTGGTACAATTGGGCGAGCAAGGTCTTTGCTCCCAGGGACTGGCATTTGGAATGTGTTTGCCAAGATCCCCTGCTGTCCCCCAGTGTGGTCACTAGAACTGAGCCAAACATTGACAGAGATCTTGGTCAAATCAAAGTTGGATGTTCCCAAGGATTAGTTTGACCCAGAGCATAAGTAAAAGATACTTGGTTGCATGAATGTATGGATAAACGGACAGCATCAAGGGAGAGGGATGGGGCCACTCTGGCTGGACAGGTGGCAAAACCATCATTGACTGCTCCCCTCAGATGCCTGCTATACTGGAACTCCACAGTGCTCCCTCCCATCCCCAGGGAGATGAGAGAAAAACAGAAGAAGAAAGAAACTCTTCTCCCTCAGTCCTGAGTCTTAGGGAGTCTCAGGGAAGGGCCTGCATCTGTCACACAGACCTGGCTCTCTGGGCCCAGCCTTGGGACCAGGACTTTGGGCTGTCCCAGGTGTTGTCCCTCCAACCCCCCAGCACTCACCTTCCCATAAACAAAGCAGTACAGAGTAACTCCAGTGGCCCATACATCCAAGGCCTAGAAAAAAGAGCATGCTCACATCAGTTCCCAGTGAACACTGCCTTCCCCTAGTACATAAAACTCAGTGGGCTATGGTGACCCTCCTTCCATCAAGTGTTTATTCAACAAAATTCCCCGGTCCTTGGTCCATGCTGGCCCTCTATTGAGTACTGAGGACTCCATCATGACCACAAGAGAGCTGCTGCCCTCCAGGGGTTCTAAGCCTCCTTGGGGAAGGCAGATGTGTTTTTTAGGTCAAAATATTCAAAGCTTCCTTTATCCAGTCACATTTGCTGCTTCTATGACATAGATGTTCCCCAGAAATTATTGTGTGTATTGAACTTCTACTCAATAAACCAGCTCTAGCTTCCAGGCACTGACCTTTCTTGTATTAATCCACTGAAGAAGCTATCTCCAACCCCCACTTCCTGCTTCCTGACACAAAAAGCATCCCCTATCCATTGAGGCCCTGCTTGCCCCGCTTGCATCTGAACTCAGGGCCTGGTGCTCTTGGCTTTTTCACTCAAGGCTTTTTTTGCTAGTTAACTGTTTTAAATGGTTTATTGGAGATAAGAGTCTCATAGGGGCTTTTCTGCCTGGGCTGGCTTCAAACCATGTTCCTTAGATTTCAGCCTCCTGAGTAGCTAGGATTACAAGTGTGAACCTCTGCTGCCTGGCTATATAACAAGTCTTACCAGTGATAAATTCCTCAACCTTGACCATTGTACTAGGTTATGTAAGACAATGCCCTTATTCTTAGGAAACATGTACTATAGTATATAGTCTTAAGAGACATAGTCTCCAACTTAACTTTCAAATGGCTCAGAAAAATGAAATTGAAAAAGGAGCTGGGCACCAGTGACTCACACCTGTAATCCTAGCTACTCGGTAGTCTAAGGTCTGAGGATTGCAGTTCAAAACCAGCCCAGGCAGGAACATCCTTGAGACTCTTATCTTTAAGTAACTACCAGAAAACCAGAAGTAGAGCTGTGGCTCAAAGTGGTAGAGTGCTAGCCTCGAGGGAAAAGACACAGGAACAATGCCTAGGCCTTGGGTTCAAGCCAGATGACTAACAAAAAAGAAAAAAAAGAAATTGAAAAAGATATATGAAAAGAAAAATTAAACTGGGCACCGGTGGCTCAGGCCTGTAATCCTAGCTACTCAGGAGGCTGAGATCCAGGATCAGGATTCAAAGCCAGCTGGGACAGGAAAGTCCGTGAGATTCTTATCTTCAATAAACCACTCAGAAAACCCAAAGTGGTGCTGTAGCTCAAGTAGTAGAGCGCTAGCCTTGAACTGAAGAGTGAGAGACAGTGCCCAGGTCCAGAGTTCAAGCCTCATGACCGACAAAAAGAAAAGAAAAATTAGCCAAAATATTAACAACTGGTGAACCTGGGCAAAGTTACATGGAATTTCTTTGTAGCATTCTTATAAGTTTTCTGTATATTTGTAATTATATCAAGATAAAATGTTATTGTTGGGCTGGGAAGGTGGCTCAGTGGTAGAGCACTTGCCTTGCATGCTTGAGGGCCTGGGTTCGATTCTTCAGCACCACAAAAGAA